TCAGAGAGGAGAGCTTAAAATAAATACGTTATTAATGTTGGGAGCAAAGATGAGAGAGAATAAGAGTTAAGAGCGAATAAGAATCAGAATATTTGACAATGCTTTCAGTCATTCGTAGTTTTTTAAAAGAACACTTCAGTTTTCGGAGAATAGGCTCATTTCATAACTCCCCGAGAGTTTTACCATATTTGAATCCATTTAGTCAGTCTCTGGGTCTGACAGGAGCACTTTTAGCTTAGCTTAGCATAGATCATTAAATCAAATTAGCCCATTAGCATTAGTCCATTTTGATCACTTTTCTTTTTTACTTATTTATTTAACTTCTTTTGTCAGTTTTGGTCACTGCGATGTGGCACGCACATGACAGTTGTATCGCACTACAGACACGTACATTCTCATGTTGTTTAATATGAAACTATTCAGATGGCACTCTGAACAGTGTTCTGAGTTGAAGCTGGGTGGCGCGGACAGCTGCCTACTTGCTGCACCACAGTGCATACCCTGATAGAAATATATGGCATGTCGCTATGTGGTGCATCACCGAATGGCGCATCCGCAGTGCAACCCCCTATAGACTTCCATTTATATGCATGCGAATGCAGAAGACCGAAAACACAAGCTTATGCGACAAGTTTTGCATGTCGCTGCATTGTTACGTTCAAGCTCGGTAAACTCTGACCTGCAAAATCGCATCACGAGACATGTATGAGACCAATGACATAGCAAAACATGACCTCTCTGTACAAAAATTTAAAATATGGACAAATCGCTCACTTTTTTACGTCTAATAATCTTGTTTAATCTCGTCCACTTTTCACAGCGCCGTACAACAGCATTGCGCAAGCTCAAACTCTAGTGTGGACACAGCATGTGTACGATGTAACAAGTTTTAAATAGTAAAATGATCAAAAGTGGTCATCTTTTTAATGGGATGCTAATGGTCTAATCTGATTCTATGATGTATGCTAAGCTAAAAGTGCTCCTATCAGACCCAGAGATCGGCTGATTGAATTAAAAAATGATTAAACTCAAAAGTTTAACTCTAGATGACTTGTAAAATAAGACTATTTAAAAAAAGTGGAGTTTTCCTTTAAAGTATAAATGTTTGCACCCTGACATTTTTTTTTTAGATTTGTTATATTGCAAGAATCATTATATCTACAGTGCATCAGAAAAGTATTAATAGCGTTTCACTTTTTTTCTGTGAAAAAAAGGTTTTTTGAAATTGTTGCAAATTTATTAAAAATAAAAGACCTGAAAAATCACATGAACATCACTATTAGCATTTGTTGTAAAGCTCTAAATTGAGCTCAGGTACATTCTGTTTCCACTGATCATTCTTGAGATGTTTCAGCAGCTTCATTGGAGTTCACCTGTGGTAAATTCAGTTGATTGGACATGATTTGAAAAGGCATACACCTGTCTATATAAGGTCACAGGGTTGACAGTGCATGTCAAAGCATAAACCAAGTATGAAGACAAAGGAATTGTCTGTAGACTTCCAAAACAGGATTGTCTCGAGGCACAAAGCTGGGGAAGGTTACAGAAACATTTCTGCCGCTCTGAAAGATATTTGGAACCACCAGGACTCTTCCTAGAGCCCAGACCTAAATCCTATTGAACATCTCTGGAGAGATCTGAAATTAGCTGTACACCATCGCTTCCCATCCAACTTGATAGAGCTTGAGAGGTACTGCAAAGAGAATGGGCAAAAACTCCCAAAGACAGGTGTGCCAAGCTTGTGGCATCATATTCAAAAAAACTTGAGGCTGTAATCGCTGCAAAAGGTGCATCAACAAGTATTTAGCAAAGGCTGTGAATACTGATGTACGTGTGACATTTCAGGTTTTTATTTGTAATAAATTTTCAACAATTTCAAAACCTTTTTTTTGCATTGTCATTATGGGGTATTGTTTGTAGAATTTTGAGGAAATAAATGAGTTTAATCCATTTTGGAATAAGGCTGTAACATAAAAAAATGTGGAATAAGTGAAGCGCTATACTTTCCGCATGCACTGTATACTCAACAACTTCAAATCTTTTATGCAGCCCTAGTCACAGCTAATGTACTGAAATACTTCACTCACCATCAATGCGTTGCACACGATAAGCCCAATATGATTGAAGATTTGAGTGCTCTCGTTTTGATCTTGATCAGCTGAATCAATGGTAAGATTTGGCTTTGTAAAAACACCTTAAACACACAACAATCAGCAATGATGAAACAGAGCAGATTTTGCACGTTAAACAACTACTTCTGCAGTCAGATAGGGCTTTTGGTATTGTGCACTTGATGGAAAGCCCTCCAACTCCGAGAAATAAAGCACAACACAATGTCTACTATGACAAAAAGCATCCTCATGTCTTCAAAGTTCGAATATCTTTACAAAAAGACATTAAAGAAAACAAAAGATTAAAATACGTTTGGCTGGAAGGTTTTCCTTTACAAAAAAAATACAATATTCCCTTCAAACCTATAAAAGGCACTTAAGTTAAAAACATGACAGGAACAGAAGTCTAACCACAGGTTAAATGCATGTGAATCCATTTCTGAACACTTACTGTTCCCCAAATGCTTAAGAATATGTAGAGATGGGAGGTAGACGTTTATATATGTTCCTTTTCAAGTCTGGATTCACCTTGACTCGTTCTCTGGCTTTGAGTATATGTGTGTTATGGTATCTGAGGCTTTTTTTGTCAGACCTGCTGGCATACACACATACATATGATCAACACAGGCTCATTGGAAATACATGCTTCAGCCACAAACACATACTTCATCACACATTTGAATGCAGTTTAATTAATTAAGTTAATTAAGTTAAATGAATTATACGGGACAGTATGAAGTCACCAACTCCTGTTCCTTTTCACACTAATGATATTTATAGGGACATCGATTATTTGTGTGTAGTTATTTACACACCTTTAAGTAAATATCACAAAATACCTTAACAATGTCCATAATTTGTAATCAAATATGGTCGCTCACTTTGTACGGTGTTGTTTTTGTGATGCAGAGCACTTCGTTTAAGGTCGGGTGAAGCATGTTTCTACAAAAAAAAGATAAAATCCAAGTAAAACTATGTGGTTTTACCTTCACTGTGGCAGTTCTCTTGTATGTTAAATTAGTTTTTGAAAACACTATTGGTTGGATTTAGGTCAGTGGTTTGCTAGGTGATCCATACGACTGAAATCCAGTCTTAGAATGTGTAGCCTAAGTAACATGTTACAGATTCTCAAAACTCTAGACAGCGCCCTCTAGTGGATTTGTCATGTGAAACCTACAACAAAACTGATGCGGAGCAATGTATTTAATATAGGCTGAAAAATGATCAAAATTGGTCTTTTTTTTTTTTGAGATGCTAATGGTCTAATCTGATTCAATGATCTATGCTAAGCTAACAAAGTGGTCCTGTCAGAACTGGAGATTGGCTGAATGGATTCAAAAATGGTTAAAGTCAAATGTTTAATGCTAGGTGACTTGAAAAGTGGTGTGTTTCCTCAAAGTATAAATGTTTGCACGTTGATATATATATATATATTTTTTTTTTGGATATGTTATATCTTTTCGCTTACGTTCATTTCTGAAAACACTATTGGTTGCGTTTAGGTCAGTGGTTCGCTAGGTGATCTGTCCGACTGAAGTCCAGTCTTAGAATGTGTAGAAAACGTAGCCTATGTAACATGTTTCAGATTCTCAAAACTCTAGACAGCACCCTCTAGTGGATTTGTTATCTGAAACATACAACAAAACTTATCTGGAGCAACATATTTAATGTAGGTGGAAAAATTATCAAAAGTGGTCATTTTTTAATGAGAATCCAGGTGACTTGTAAAATCAGACTATTAAAAATGAGTGGAGTGTTTCTTTGAAGTATAAATGTTCGCACCTTGATATAACTTTTTGGATATGTTATAACTTTTCGCTTACGTTTGTTTCTGAAAACACTATTGGTTGGGTTTAGGTCAGTGGTTCGCTAGGTGATCCGTACGACTGGATTGTAGTCCAGTCTTCGAATGTGTAGAAACATAGCCTAAGTAATGTATTTCAGATTCACAACACTGTAGACAGCACCCTCTAGTGGATTTGTCATCTAAAATGTACAACAAAATGTTAATGTAGAAATGTTAATGTAGGCTGAAAAATGTTCAAAAGTGGTCCTTTTTTAATGAGATGCTAATGGTCAAATCTGATTCAATGATCTATGCTAAGCTAAGCTAAAGATATGTTATATCTTTTCTCTTGCGTTTGTTTCTGAAAACACTATTGGTTAGTGGTTTGCTAGGTGATCCGTATGACAAGTCCCATCTTAAAACATGCAGAAAACGTAACATATTTTAGATTCACAAAACCATAGACAGCGCCCTCTAGTGTATTTGTCATCTGAAATGTACAAGAAAATGTATCTGGAACAACATATTCAGTGTAGGCTGAGGCACATATCGTCAATGAGCCTCGGCTTCCTCTAATAATTAAACCTGAATCAAATGATATGAGTGACAGTAAACATCACTTTTACGTTAAACAGCCAAAAGCAAGATTCATCTTTAAAAAAAAACAATCTGTTCATCCTCTATTGCACTTTACAGAAAATATACACACACACAAACATGTATAAATAAAACACATGATTGTGTATAACTGTAGAATACAAAATAAGTACTTCATTACAAACGTCTTAAATGATCCGTATAGCTTGTCCACATGGATCATGTGCCAAAAAACCCACCTATGAATAAATTAAGACTATCAGAGTTTTAAAAAAGCAGGAGAAACTTAGCTCTGAAAAAAAGAGCAAATGTCATCCTGAGCGGTTCATGTAGAAAGTCTTCTTTTGTTTTTTCAAAAGCTGCTCTGGGTTCCTGGTTCCTCCTGTTAAAGGCTTCAGTACAGGTTTGAGACATGGTGTTCTGAACTCAATACAGCTTTGTTGACGACACAGAAGCTCTTGGATGCCATTGATCAGGGATTTTAAGGCCTCGGTGGTGATTTCTCCTTATAAAAAGCACACAGGGCCCACCTCCAGGTGGTAATGTGAGCCAGGTTTAGTGCTGGGCAAGTTGTAGATCTCCACAATGGGTAGTAAGTTTGGGTCCTGCGTCCGGAAAATGAACTGTGTTTGATGCCATCTACCATCTGTGATCTACATAGGAAAAAAAAGCGGTAGGATTAGTTGTGAAAATGAGGAAGTCTAATAGAGGTGGTAGATTTTTTATAGCCAACGTGAAAATTGCAGCGAATCACTGCGGCGAATTGAAACCAATCCTGCTTTGTGTTCCTTTAAGTGAAGTCTCACAAATTAATTTCGAGAGGAGCACATGATGTGATTGACCACAGCTGGTCCCTATTGGTAATCATTAGCTAGCCAATCGCATTATTCCAAATTTAACATAAATATCCAGCCTAACTTTACTCCCTATCTTCATTTTGGAAAGACCCCCCCCATCATTTTCCTTTGGCTTTTTATTTTAAAACTCCTAGTAAAGAATAATTAAAGTTATTATTATAAATTAAAGTAAATAATTCAAATTTATTGTACAACTTGATAAGGATTATTTTATATAGTGCTTGGATGTGTAAATATCCTGTTGATATTTAGTAATATTGCTGTATCTTTTGCTTCCATAAATGCAGGAGTACCTTAACTCTATGCCAAGTAGTCTAAATGTCATGATAAAACGGATGAAGAAGTCAGCAAGTGGAGTTACTAAACGAATGAATATAATAGTATTTCAAATGAATAGGTTGTGGATAAATTTGGAGAAAACTCATGAAAACATTTGATGAAAATGTTCTCTGGTAAGTATTTCCGCTATCTTGCCAACAACATCTCGTTGCGACATCTTGCATGGTTCTATGGGATCTCGATGACTGCAAGTTACACCTATTACTTACTACAAGTTACGCTCCTTCATATTATGCCTCCGTCTTGCTGTCCGCAGACAGATACACTTGGTTTGACTGGAAGTCTGATTCCGTGGCTCTGTCTCTAGCTCCATCAGGTAGTCTTTCTATGCATGCCCGGGCTCCAATTTCAGCAGTTTTTTTGCGATAGTTATGAGGCGTTTTGGATTCAAAGTGTTCAATGTCACGTCATCCATATTTTTTACAGTCATTAGTCCCACCCTCTCTTCACATTTCGGTTGAGATTACGTCAAACATTGAATGCACATTTCAAAGCAAATCATGGGACCTTAAAATTTCAGTACCAATTGATATGGAGGTTGATACTTTTTTGACAACCCTAAATACTAGAGGTGTAGCCATACTCAAACTGATCCCGAAAAACCACAATACAACACATATGGTATGTGGCAATTGCACGATCTTACTTATGTTGTCTTGTGAACCCCCTGATGCCTGTGAAACCTGGCAGTTGCTAATAAATAAATGATTACAATAAACATACCCAGCACTCATCCTTCAGCAAATCAGGCTCGATGAATCCTCCAGCCTCGATTATCTGTCCATCCCAGGCTTTAAAGTATACCATGCTGGAGGAAGGTGTTTTGGAGTCTTCCGATGCCCAAACGGAGACGTTCAGACAGTGAACGGTGATGATCTGCACAGCCTCAGAGCTCAGGAGGTGGATGAAGTTCATCTGGATCAGACTGACTCCGATCTCCAGCTTTAGGAAAGAAGTAAAAAAACTGATTACCACAAGCAAAGAGACACTTTGAGCAATCTATTCTGCAGAAAAATGGACACAAAAAGCAACATAAGAACTCTTTAAAGGGGGCCTATTGTGCAAAATTCACTTTTAAATGGGTTTAAACACAGTTGTGTGGCAACAGTGTGTTTATATGACCAGCTTCTAATGGTAAAAATTAATTATATTCTTCATAATCAGTTCGTTAAAACAGTCTGCAGAAACACTTTGATTGACATTCTCCCTTTGTACGTGTCATCAGAGGGAGAAAGCCCCGCCCATTAGTGACCATCTCTTCCTCATTAGCATAGGACATTAATCTTGTTTTTTAATCTGCCACAATGCTGACACACAGGCATTAGAAGCTCCTCCCTCTTTTGAAAAGAGCACAATCTCACTTGAATTTAAAGCGACAGTCACTAAAACAGCACAAAGCCTGAAACGGGCGGTTTCAAAGAGTTATAAAACATTAGTTGTGGGATATTTTGAGCTGAAACTTCACATACACTCTATGAACATCAGAAACTTATTTTAGATCTTGTAAAAAGGGGCATAACAGGTCCCCTTTAAACTCAACAGCAATCTTTGGAATGATGCAAATACAGATTCAGTGAAATATATAAAGTTATAGCTGGTTGTGTGCTTTAAAGACCTTGGATGCAGTGACTGGCTTAAGGCAGGTTTGACCTCCACTGGTGAAGCTACAGGTCACTTCAATGTTGTCAGAGGAGCAGCCCAGGTTAGGATCTATCCAATAAGTGCCTGAAATAAAGAAAATGAATGAAATGAACGATCCTACACTTTTCATTTCTATCACATATGACAAACTACAACCACAGTTGGTTATTAGCTGTTTTATTACACTTGCTGACAACTTTAGGTACACCACTTTAAATTTAGATGCAAATGTCTCATTAGTCAATCATATGGCATAACTTAAAGAAACACTCCTCTTTTCCCTAAATTTTACAACTCTCCTAGAGTTAAACTGTTGAGTTTAACTATTTTTGAATCAATTCAGTCAATTCCTGGGTCTGGCAGGAGCACTTTTAGCATAGCTTAGCATAGATCATTGAATCAGATTAGACCATTAGGATCTCACTCAAATAGTTTTTAATTTTTTTCTACTTAAAGCTTGACTCTGTTGTAGTTACATTGCCTATGTTTTTTTCTAGGCTGATATGGCTAGGAACTATAGTCTCATTTTATATAGTTTATATAGTTCATTTAGTTTCATAGTCAAAGAACTTTGTTTGAACTACCATGGTTGCAGCCATAGATATATACACTAGATATCACATACGGACCCTGAGCATGCGTCAATAGCGCTGCAACATTTGTACAGTGCTCCTAGGACAAATGTCATTCAACCGCACTAGTCAAGACAGTGTGCTAATGTGAAGAGGCTAGACTTTAGCACTGTGTACGGGTGTAGTAATGAGCAAACAAAAAAACACAAAACACACAGGCAGAACATTTAATAGTTATATAGTGCTCAACAAGTCACGTTATTGATGATGATACAGTCACCTACTGCATTCACAATTAGGCAAAGGAGCACCAACTCACAGTAAATTCTAGGCTTATGCAAGTTTTGTTCAATAAAATAAGCAAACAATGTTAAGAAATATGACAACAAGATGCTGCGGTGGCAGAAACTTTAATTATTGTCGGCTAAGTGAATGAGTTGTTCATAACGGGGATTCATTCACAAACAAATCCCTTGCTCCGCAGAATGAGAAGTGAAAGCAGGAGAGGAGGTGTGTTTCAGGACTCGGATTAGATCAGATTAAACAGGGAGGGAGAAAAATACATTTCCATGACACAAACATGCTCTTTGTCGGCAATGCCCATGCGGTCACTTATCCATCGATATAGAAAAGTAATGCAAAATTATAATTATAAGTCATTTAAAAAATTTGCGATCACAGATATATTTATATATATGTGTATATCTCAGGCTTTGGATGGCCACAGTCCTCCACTGCACCTTGGTCCCGCATTCATTTCAAAAGAGTGCTACCCTGTACTAAAATGGCGGCTCTGTTGAAGCATTCCTTTTAATAGACAACAGTAGGGTAGGCGACATCTAATGTATATATCTATTGGCTGCAGCAGGCACAATGATATTACAAAGCACTGTTGCGTAGTTACCAAGCTGGGGGCTATTTTCCAGAGCAAAAACAATGCAGTTTACAATCTCACCATCATTCAACCTGTGCTCGCATTCAAGCAGATCCCTGCACATTCTGGCCGGATTCTCCTGCGTTCCCAGCGGGTTTTTGATACTGTGGATCAGGATGCTGAGGTAGTGAAGAGTCTTAAAAATCTCGCTTCCTTGATCCAGCAGTGGAAGGTCAGTATCCTGATACATCTGTGAATTGAATAAGTTGTTAGCTAACATTGTGTCCCTGTTTGCAAAAAATTACAGTAACTGTAGTCACAGAACAGACACAACTCTAATGTTTATTTGCTAATGCCTAAAACTAATCTCTGATAGGTTTCCGACACTGCTTGCACCTACTTCAGATCTTAATGCGGAGCGGGAATCAAAAACATGTAAAGCAGCACCAAGGGCCTCATTTTCCTAAGAGAAAAAAAAATAGAGACATTAGTTTGTTTAGTTTGAAATTAGAATTGATTAGCTTGAAGCTAGCATATATTATGTAATTTTGAATTAGCACATTGCTAACATGTTGTTTTCATGATTTTAATAAAAATAAACATATTGCAAGCATACATTTGTATGTTGCTATTTTCAGTATGAATTAACATGTTGCTAGCATGTATTATCATGTTAAAATGTTTCCAGTATGAATTAGCATGTTGTTAACGTTTCCAGTATGAATAAGCATGTTGTTAGCATGTTTCCAGTATGAATTACCATGTTGTTAGCATGTTTATTTTAGATTAGCATATATTTACCATGTTCCCAGTATGAATTGATATGTTGCTAACATGTTTCTAGTACATATTAACATGCTGTTAACATGACTGTAGTATGAAATAGCATGTAGCTATCATAATTAGCATGTCAGTAGCATGTTTCCAGTATGATTTGCCATGTTGCTAGCATGAATTAGCATGTTAGAATGTTTCCTGTATGAATTAGCATGTTGTTAGCATGTTTCTAGTATGAATTTTCAAGCTGTTCGCATGTTTATTTTTTAGATTAGCATAGTTTTACCATGTTCCCAGTATGAATTGCCATGTTGCTTACATGCTTCTAGTATGAATTATCATGTTGTTAGCATGACTTTAAAATGGATTTGCATGTTTCCAGTATGAATTAACATGCTAACATGTATTAGCATGTTAGAATGCTTCCAGTATAAATTAGCACATTGTTAACATGTTTCCAGTATGAATTAGCATGCTGTTAGCATGTTATCAGCATGAATTACCATGTTGTTCGCATGTTTATTTTATAGATTAGCATATGTATTTTAACCATGTTCCCAGTATGAATTTTCATGTTGTTAACATGATTTTAGTATTAATTAGCATGTTGCTAGCATGTTTCTAGTACATATTAATATGTTGTTAACATTATTTTAGTATGAAATAGCACAAAGCAATCATAAGTAGCATGCTGGTAGCATGTTTCTAGTATGATTTGCCATGTTGCTATCATAAATTATCATGTCACCAACATGTTTCTAATATGATCTAGCATGTTGTTGGCACAAATTTAGTATTGATTAGCATGTAGTTAGCATAATTTTAATATAAGACAGTATGTTGCTAGCATGGATTAGCATGTTGCTAGAATGTTTGTAGTACATGTTAACATGCTGTTAACATTTTTTAGTATGAAATAGCATGTAGCTATCATAATTAGCATGTCAATAACATGTTTAGCTTAGTATATATATATATATATATATATATATATATATATATATATTATTTCTAGTGGTGACATTTAGTAGCATTTTTTTAGTAGCATTTTTTTAGTTCCGTATTGAAGTTTATATCATCAGAGATGTCTTACATGAGAGAAGGCTACAGCAGGAAGCCCCTGTAAACAAATGAGAGAATAAGAAACAAGTATTAAATCCACAAGCTTCAGCTAAATGCAACTCAACCGTGATATTATTCTTCAGTCATAAACGCTATTCATATGCTTGATAAAATGGATTAAGAATACTCACTGGAGGTCCCGGTGGTCCACGAGGACCTGGAGGCCCCTGATGGGAACAAAAAAAAATGTTTTGTTAAAAACATGCCACTTAACTTATGTAAAAAGGTGGTTAGTAATATTTAAGGCGATTGGATCAAACATACCCTGGGTCCCTGAACACCCTGTTTAAAATAAAAGGAAAACCAAAGAATTATACTCTGCAATGAACACTTTTAAAACATGAAATCACTTGGAAGTTGTCATCAAGAATACATTACTGTTCCTGCCAGTTCAGTTAAATGTTTCTTCTAGATCTTGTGTTCATTAAATTTTTGGAATTTGCATGTTGTTAGCATGGTTTTGTTATGAATTTGCATGTTTGCTAGCATGTTTCTAGTATAAATTAGCATGTTTTAACATGTTTCCAGTATAATATATTATAGTATAGTTTCTAGTATTAATTAGCATGCTATTAGCATGTTGCTAGTATAGATTAGCATGTTTTAACATGTTTCCCGTGTGGATTAGTATAGTATAGTATATTGTACTATTGTATAGTTTGTAGTATGAATTAGCATGTTTCTGGTATGAATTAGCATCTTTTAACATGTTTCCAGTAAAGCATATTGTATAGTATAGTTTCTAGTATGAATTAGCATGTTATTAGCATGTTTCTGGTATAAATAAGCATCTTCTAACATGTTTCCAGTATGGATTAGTATAGTATAGTATATTGTAATATAGTATAGAATAGTTTCTAGTATGAATTAGCATGTTTCTGGTATGAATTAGTATCTTTAACATGCTCTCAGTATGGATTATTATAGTATACTATAGTTTCTAGTATGAATTAGCATATTATTAGCATGTTTCTAGTGAGAATTAGTATATTTTAACATGTTTATGGATGAGTATAGTAAATTATATTATAGGATAGTATATCACAGTATAGTATAGTTCCTTGTAAGAATTAGCATACAATTAGCATGTTTCTTGTATGAATTAGCATCCTTTAACGTTTCCAGCATGGATTAGTATAGTATAATATATCACAGTATAGTATAGTTTGTAGTATGAATTACCATTTTATTTGCATGTTTCTGGTATGAATTACCATCCTCTAACATGTTTTCAGTATTGATTAGTATAGAATAGTTTCTAGTATGAATTAACGTGTTATTAGCATGCTTCTAGTGTAAATTAGCATCTTTTAACATGTTTCCAGTATGGATTAATATAGTATAGTATAGTTTCTAGTATGAATTAGCATGTTATTAGCATGTTTCTAGTATGAATTACCATATTTTAACATGTTTCCTGTATGGATTAGTTTAGTATATTATAGTATAGTATAGTATATATTGTATATGACAGTATAGTGTAGTTTCTAGTACAAATTGGCATACTATTAGCATGTTTCTAGTATGAATTAGCATCCTTTAACATAATTCCAGTATGGATTAGTATTGTATAGTATATCACAGTATAGTATAGTTTCTAGTATGAATTAGCATGTTATTCACATTTTTTTTGGTGTGAATTAGCATCTTCTAGCATGTTTCCAGTATTGTATATTATAGCATAGTATAGTTTAGTATAGCTTGTAGTGTGAATTACCATGTTACTAGCATGTTTCTAGTATGAATTAGCATCTTCTAACATGTTTCCTGTATGGATTATGGTAGTATAGTAAAGTATAGTATAGTATAGTATTGTATAGTATAGTAAAGTATAGTAAAGTATAGTATAGTTTCAAGTATGAATTAGCATGATGTTTGCATGACTTTAGTGTGAAATAACATGTAGTTTTCTGTTATGGATAAGCATGTTTTCATTCCACACTAAAAATTGCATGAATGAATAACAGCTGATCCAAAATTTGCAATAACAAAGTGAATAATATGTGAGATTTTCCAATACCTTTTGATTTATAAAGTGGTTTATTAAATAAAATAGGAAATTGGAGAAATTAAATAGGTGCTGACTTAATTAAAAGTTTCCAAAAATATCTTACCATTTCCCCTTTGTTTCCTTTGTCTCCTTGCGGTCCCTAATATAAGAAAGAAGAGATATGTTTTGTGAACCTAATTAGAAAGCACATAAAGAACAAGCTTTGCTGAATGATTCGGATCATACATACTGGGTTACCACTCGGCCCAATGATCCCAACTGGTCCGATGGCTCCTTGCATCCCCTTAAAAGAAGAAACACCTACAGTAGTTGCTGATCAAGAACTCTTCATTCATCTCACTGGTGTTTTCACATCAGTTCTCACAGTGGTACTTACCATTAAACCCTGAGGACCCTTTGGACCCTGTATACCCACTGGACCGAAGTCTCCAGGAGGCCCCTGTAAGTGGCAGAAACTCTTTAGGAGTCAGAAAGGAAGAACAATTGACTGTTTATTACTATTGCCCTTATTCTTTCATGTACGAGAAGACACACCCATTGGCAGATTGTTGGCTCGAGACTTCTGCTTTCATTCACTTCAATTCACCATTAATTTTTAGCCATACATTTTATTATTTATTATTATTTTTAAAGATTTTTAGCTTGTAATGCTGGGTTATGTTTAACATTTTTTTTTATGTATAATCAAAAAACACATGGGCTGCGTCCAAAATTGCATATATCCCTACTATATGTTATGTGAAAAGTAGTATGCGAGCCGAGTTGTATGTCTGAATTGATAGTATTTGAAAAACAGTATACTACAAGTACCCGGGAGTTTCTGAAGTGATACAAGCATTTTTTAAAGGTGACCTGTTATGCAAAAAAATACTTTTTTAACGAATTTAAACAGTTGTCTGGCATCAGTCCGTGAGTATAACCAGCTTCTAATGGAAAAAGTTGATAAATTTTATTCTTTTATAATCACACTTAATAAAAACGGTCTGCCAAAAAACACTTTGATTGACATTCTCCCTCTGCACATGTCATCAGAGAGGGAAAGCCCCGCCCATTAGTGATGATCTCTCCCTCATTAGCATAGGACTTCAGTGTCTTGTATATGAATCTGCTACCATGCTGACATACATGCATTTGTAGCTCCACCCTCTTTTGAAAAGAGCACAATCTCATTTGAATTTAAAGTGACAGTCACCAAAATGGCCCAATTAAAATCAAAACATAAAAGCCAGTACGCTCACCACACACCAGGTACTGGTGGAGTGAAGAGACAGTTATAGAGCCAATTCAGTGGATGGGGATGATGGGTGAGGGCCGATTGGGGGACTTTGGCCAGGACACCGGGGTTACACCCCTACTCTTTACGAGAAGTGCCATGGGATTTTTAATGACCACAGAAAGTCAGGACCTCGGTTTAACGTCTCATCCGAAAGACGACATGATAATGATTTCATGATAATGCTAGAGCAGGAAGTGAGTTTACCTGTGGTCCAAATATTCCAAGAACTCCAGGAAATCCCTGTTCACCAGCATCACCCTAAAGAACAATACAAACAACACAGTAGCAGATCAGCAGGTAGCATCAATCTTCAGTGTGTGCTAAAGACATGTCACTGATGCCATTTATTCAATAACTGTTAAACAAAACGAGTTTTCAGTTTTCAGAAGTTCACACCTAGCTGATTAGTGATTATAAAGCGTGTTTGGCATGCTGTCCCAGGAGAGAGCCCTGAGCTCAGAAGATCCTCGAGCCCAGGGTCTCCCTCCCGTTTGCAGGGCGAGAGGGGAGTTTGAGCTCAGGTAGGTCTCGAGAACTCAATTAGGGATTGATATGGAGAGATCTATTGCGGATTAAGAGCTCATCTACGGTGCCAATTTGGTTTGGTCAATTCACCCATGTCGCATGTCTTTGGACTGCGGGAGGAAACTGGGGAACCCAGTGGAAACCCATGCAAGCACAGGGAGAACATGAAAACTCCACACAGAAACGTCTACTGGCCTGGTAAGGACTTGAACCAGTGACATTATTGCTGTGAGGCAACAGTGCTAACCACTGCGCCGCCATGCCACCCTATCAAGGAAAAGAGAGGGGGAGTAGGGGTGGAAGGGGGGAATCTTCAAGACAAAGATAACTGAGGTAAGAAACTATGGTTATTTATAGCAAGTTAGGAATCATCCGATTGGTGAATCATGCGTTTGCTAATGTGGGACAAGCTGTGATCAATCATAAGAACGTGATTCTCTCCAAATTAGTTTATAAATATAGTTCACTTTGGCTGAAAGCTGTGTTGTGTTGTAAATGGCCCCATAGAGGGAAATCATACTCACAGGTTGTCCTTTGAAGCCTTGGTCGCCTTGTTTTCCAGGAAATCCCATTCCTCCGTTCAGTCCTCTTTTGCCTGGAGGTCCAGTTTGACCAGGAATGCCCCTTTCCCCCTAAGAGAAACAATGAAGCTAAAATCAACTAATGTTGATTGTGTTGATAGGTGTGAGTTGGAGGTGGTTAGAGAAAAACATCAGCTGAGCTGTAGCCCTCTAGAAATTGAGTTTGAGGCCACCGTGATACAGCATCTGAACCATGTCTTCAGGTGTGGTAATATAACAGAAGTATAAACAGAGTAATTGATGATGGGGCATTATTCATCAGTCAATCAGACTCAAGAATTCAACAACCCCCATTAAATAATAAGAATTATTACATGGGTGTCTGGAATACTTGATTCTGATTGGTCAGATGCGACGTTCCAAGGAATGCTATTCAGACACAATAACCGCTAAATAGCTCAGACTCATCCAGGAGCTTCCAATCACGTCAGTGAATACGTTCACATCCATATACTTACATACACATTCTTTGGTATCTGCTTGTCTGTCAGGCCAGGGTTTTTAATTGTTTGGCGCCATCTTGTGGCTGAATAATGTGCAGGTTAGTGTATACTTCATTAGCTGTTTTCGTTTCTGTCAGCTTTGCATTTAATTTAAGAATTAAGAAACTTCTACGGCTCAGAACAATGATTTATGTATAATTTGATAAAGAACATCCAGGATGGTTGTTTTCGCAGAATAAAGCCCTTCAGTCTTATACAGTAGTTCTCCGATTCACGTCGGGCTGCCTATAAACCTGTGAGGCTTTATTCTGTGATAACAACCTCATGGATGTACTTTATCCCCAACAGTGACACACACAAACAAAAGCAAACCATCTATATATAAGCAAAGTACCTTTGGCCCAAAAGAGCCTTGAACTCCTGGTAGACCTGGTGCTCCTGCATTTCCTTGAGGACCCGGTTTTCCAGGCAGCCCAACATCCCCATCATGTCCAAGATCACCCTAATAGGGGAAAAAACAAACCACAACATCACAAACCATATAAAGCACCTGGGCCAAATGAAGGTTTACACTGAGGACATTGAGAATTACATTCATTGTCTTACTGGCATTCCTTTAGCTCCATCTTTCCCAGCAGCTCCATCGGGTCCAGGATCCCCCTCAAAACCCTCTCGACCGATGACCCCTCTGGGCCCAGGAACACCAACAGGACCCTGAATGAAATACACAGTAACATCAGTTGCCGTTTTATTAAGATGTTACTGAAACCATTTCTGGGTTTAGGAAATTTGCTTACAGGAGACCCTCGGTTTCCAGATTCACCACGAGGACTGTTTTTGCCTTTTGGACCCTGAATACAATCAGTTATTCAGTTGAGCCATTAAAATTATTTAAATTAGATGTTTATGTATGTATAAATTAACCATATATGTGTGCACTTGTTTGCATGTTAGTTATTTTCTTACTTTATTGCCTTTAGATCCTTTGAGCCCTGGAAAACCTCTAGGCCCTGAATTCCCCTGTTGTTTTAGAAAGGGAAATACGATGAAAATTAAGAAAACTAATTACGGATACTTAACTAAATAACATAAACTGTAACAAATACATTGATAAATAATATTATTTGATGTTATTTCAGGTAGTTGCGAAGGATTTTTTTTACAATTTTTTTTTAGTTTATAAAAGAAAAAAACAAACAAATGCAAAACAAAACTACCATCATTTAGTGAAAATAAAAATATTGTGACAAAGGATTAATCATGATTATTCAAATCCAAATAAATGTTTTTGTAATTATATAATATACAGTTGAAGTCAGAATTATTAGCCCCCCTTTGATTTTATTTTCTTTTTTAAATATTTCCCAAATGATGCTTAACAGAGCAAGGACATTTTCACAGTATGTCTGATAATATTTTTTTTCTTCTGGAGAAAGTCTGATTTGTTTTATTTCGGCTAAAATAAAAGCAGTTTTGAATTTTTTAAACACTATTTTAAGTTCAAAATTATTAGCCCCTTTAAGCTAATTTTTTTCTCGATAGTCTACAAAACAAACCATCGTTATACAATAACTTGCCTAATTACCCTAACCTGCCTAGTTAACCTAATTAACCTAGTTTAGCCTTTAAATGTCACTTTAAGCTGTACAGAAGTGTCTTGAAAAATATCTAGTAAAATATTATTTACTGCCATCATAGCAAAGAGAAAATAAATCAGTTATTAAAGATGAGTTATTAAAACTATTATGTTTAGAAATGTGTTGAAAAAAATCTTCCCTCTGTTAAACAGAAATTGGGGAAAAAATGAAACAGGGGGTTTAATAATTCAGGGGGGCTAATAATTCTGACTTCAACTGTATGTGTATGTAAATACAAATTTCCTAAAAATCTAAAACTATATATTTACATATTTATATATAATTTGTATTAGATTTAAATATTTTATATATTAATAATAAATATCTAATTTACAAAACTATAAAGCATATCAGTGCTACTTAAATAACACAGGTTTAAAGATGTATAAAGGTAGATTTACTCACAGGGACTCCAGGAGCCCCCTCTTTTCCTCTTTCTCCTTGAACACCTTCAAGGCCCTTAAAATTGACAAAATCTATTTTAGAATTGAAATTCAAAATCTGATATATAAAGTATTTTTGTTGGTGTCCAATTTTGGTGATATTTTTTGGATACTCACGGGGTATCCAGGGTCACCAGGTTCTCCTCTGTCTCCTCTGTTGCCAACAGGTCCCTTTGACCCAATGAAAAATCAAATATATTGATCAGGTTGGCACCCGATATTCTCCAAAACTAAGTTAAAATATATTTAATGGACTGACTCACGATGTCACCAGAAGGACCAGGTAGACCTTCAACCTTCCCGTCATCGCCTTGCTCTCCCTGAAATTTATTTCAGAATTGATTGCAGGACTTTTCCTCCTAAAACATCTGATATGCATTTGGCTGTGTGTTCCGTTATGGCTAATGTGATCTTTTTTTTAATAATGTGTATTTATTTATACCTTTTCTCCTTTTGGTCCCGGGGATCCCAATGAACCTTGTGGCCCTTGATGACCCTAAGGCAAATTTAAAAAAGAAAAGAAATGGATTACAAAACCACTAGCACAAAAAAGCAATGTTAACATTATTTTACATAAAGTAGATCAGCTGTTTTTAAGTTAAAAAAGCTTTATGCTCAAAATAAAACATAAAAATTCTTATAAGCCATGTTTAAAAACACTTACTTCATATCCCGTCAAACCTGGCTCTCCGTGCTGACCCATTTTTCCCGGAGCACCCTGAATATGATAATCAAGAAACTGGAGTTAATTATAGAAACCAAATTTCAAACGCAAAATACAACAACCCTAAATAAATAAATCCTCAAAAAAAATTTTTTTTTACTTTATTTTCACATTAAAATAAGCATCTTTCTGCGGTCTGACAATGATGATAATACTAGTTAAAAATCGAATAAATCTAAAAGTACTGGAAACATGACAGCAACATGCTAATTCCTGCTAGCAACATAGTATTTAAACTAAAGTTATGCTAACAACACTCTAATATATAAAGAAACATGCTAGCAACATGTTAATTCATACTAGAAACATGCCAATAACATGCCAATTTTTGCTTGCAATATGCGAATTCATACTAAAATCATGCTACCAACACGTTTACTCATATTAGAAACATGCTTGCAACATGCTAATTTGTACTGGAAACATACTAGCAACATGCAAAGTCATAGTGGAAGCATACTAATCCAAAATAGAAACATGCTAGCAACATGCATATACTTGTAAGGTATGTTTTGATGCTGATATGCTGGTCTTGCTGGTTTTGCTGCTCTTGATGCTAATCTCAGTGCTGCAGCAAGACTAGCATTGAGACCAGCACTGAAAGCATCAAGACCAGCATCAAGACCAGCAAGTCCAGCATTGACTGCATTAAAACATACCTTACCCGCATATGCTGTTTTTTTCAGCAGGGTCGTAATGGAAACATGCTAACAACATGCTAATCCATAACAGAAACATGCTAATTCATATCTATCTATCGATCGATCGATCGATCGATCGATCGATCGATCGATCTATCTATCTATCTATCTATCTATCTATCTATCTATCTATCTATCTATCTATCTGTCTGTCTGTCTGTCTGTCTGTCTGTCTGTCTGTCTGTCTGTCTGTCTGTCTGTCTGTCTGTCTGTCTGTCTGTCTGTCTGTCTGTCTGTCTGTCTGTCTGCCTTTCTATCTGTCTATCTGTCTGTCTATCTATCTATCTATCTATCTATCTATCTATCTATCTATCTATCTATCTATCTATCTATCTATCTATCTATCTATCTATCTATCTATCTATCTATCTATCTATCTATCTATCTATCTATCTATCTATCTATCTATCTATCTATCTATCTATCATCCATACATCAGTATTTATTTTACTTCCCCAGTTTGTGGAAAAGTTATCTGTGATGATTTTTTTTCTACTTGTGACTTTTTTTACCACTTGTTTTTTAAATTTACAATTTAAAATGAATAAAATGTAAAAATTAATCCCAAATGTTTTAATCCTTATGCCTTTTTTGGAAGACACAACATTGAAACTGAACATTCAAAAGTCTGATTTTGCAAAAACATTAACAATCCTTTAAGACAAATTGAATAGAATATGCACCATAAATCCAGTAGTTCCTCTGCTTCCTTTTGGCCCGATGAAACCCGTGTCACCTTGCTCACCCAAAGCACCCATCTCGCCAAGTTGACCTTGATGACCTTTGCTGCCCTGAAATTATTGTAAAAGGATAGTTCACCCAAAAAGTTCAGTTCTGTCATTATTTAATTATACTCCACTTGTCACACACCTATATGAGTTTCTTTTTCTATTGAACACAAAAGGAGTTATTAAGAAAAATGTTGGAAATCTAAAACCACTGCGCTGACTTCCAAATTATTTTTCCTACTATTGATGTTAAAAGTTAATGGTTTCTAACATCTTTTTATTTGTTAAACAGATCAAATAAACTGATAAGACTGGAAACATCTGAGAGAGTAAATAATGATTACATTTTTATTTTGGGGTGAACTATCCCTTTAAGCACCAATTACACTCATATATATACACAGGGATAAATGCTGAAATGCAATACTAATTACTGAAAACTGGTAAAGCTTATAAATTAAAATGTCAAACAAACATAAAATACCTTCTCTCCAGGTTTTCCCCTCTCACCAATTTTCCCTGGTTTGCCTTCAGGGCCCTGAAATGACATTACAGAGTTGACACACTGCAAAAATGAATAGACGGAGAGAGAGAGAGATCTCTGAATGAACACATTCAGTGGTGACTTATGGCTTTAATCATTCAGATCTACTACAAGAAGATTTAGTTTGTGTTTTCTGTCATCCAACATCACTCAGCGAAACATTTCAAAGCATGTGCGGAGACAATAAAGGGATCTGAACTCTCAGCCCAAACAATATGGCAAAAATTGCTTTATTTTAAGTGGGTAAACTTAAAAGCGTCAAATTGACTTAACTTAAAAATTGAGTAAACCCGTTGTAACTTTGAACTGTTAAGTTGACTTAATTTTTATAATTATGCATGTACAGGAGTTGGACAATGAAGCTAAAACACTGGCCAATTTAGTGTTGGAGGTTTCATAGTTAAATTTGACCAGCCAGTGTGGATGGGGGAAAACGGAGACGTCTGAAAACAGAGGCGGGGCTGCAGACATTCGCTTCTATGATTGGGGCTTTTCCTCAATATTAAGTAGCCTAACACACACAGTTCAGTCCTGCATCCTCTCCTTGTAAGTTAAAACATCGCAAGTTTGATATGGAAAACCAACTCCCGAGGACACGTCGGATAAAACTTCAAAGGTAACAGTGTACTTCATAACCTTATTCACATCACCCTGGATACGTACGTTGTTTCACTTTCTTAACAATAAATGAAAACATATTATTAGGAACTGCCTATTTTCATTTTGATATTAGCAACTTAACAGACAGCAGAAATGTTGAGGCATCGTGTAGCTGCATATATGAGTGTCATCTTTACTGTGTGCATATTTATAACAAAACAGAGCCTAAAACATCACTGCATCCTTTCATTTTCGTTGAAAATATGAAACATACCCTCTCTTTTGCTGAAAATCAGTATTAATAATCAATAACGGCCATTATGAAAGTATAACATACAATAAGTTTAAACATTATAGGAAATAAAAGCAACAATCAGTCAATATACAAAATGTACATGGTTACATTATTAACTTATCTTTGCGCTCAGCCAAAACACGTTACCTGAGAATAAGTAATAGATTCACAGGAAAGTCAGGGAATATGTCGTTAGATATAGACAACAAGATTAATTAAATATCACGTTTAACAAATATAGTGAGATTAGATCCAGTGGTAGATCCTTGATGAACAGTCTGACGAGCACAGCTCTCACAGCGCATGCCAGAGTGTGTGTGTGTGTGTGGTCACGTGATGTGCGTTTTCAGTGGTTTGGTGTAGATGGAGAGTTGTTCAGAATAACTGGGTGAAATGCCAGTGTGGACGCGGATCATTTTCATTCTAAAACATACTAGTGTAAACAGGGCCTTAGATGCAGAAGACCCCTACTGGCCCATATCTATCAGCTGATAACAACTGATAACGCCCTACTCAATTGAGCGATAGCATTCGAATCGTTTGGAATTATTGTGGTGTAAAACCAGGCACTTCAGGTTTGTTTCATTGTCCAACCCTGGTAGTTCATTTACTTAATAATTTAAGGCAGCATGTTTACTCACTTTAAGTAAAGCCAACTAATTGCTTTATAAGCGATGCATTTATTCACTTTTTGAAGTCAACAAATCACTTTTTACAGTGTACTTATTGAGTTTAATGAGTTTGCAAAATATCTGAAAACCTTAAGAAAATAAGCCACTGTTTCAAGAAATAAAAGTGCACACACCTTGACGCCTATTAAGCCAGGATCACCAGTACGTCCCTCTGTTCCTTTAAATCCGATGACTCCTTTTTCGCCTGATTCTCCCTCCAGTCCAACATCCCCCTGTTCACCCTACAGACAACGACATTTAGAGCGGGTTTGCACCAATGATGATTCAATTAAACAGCGTTTAGAGCTAAGAATTTGTTGATCTGGGTTTTATTTTAAATCAAGTCATGTTGGACCACTTCATTTCAAACACATTTGTGATTCCAACATTAATCTGTGATTAAAGCTTAAATCTGGGATTAGTTCTGATTGACTGTCGTTAAACTAAATGACAACAATATTACTCTTGTGTTGTAATTCACTTGTTTCAACATATATTTAAGTGACTTCAAATGGCTCATGCAAATAATAAAAATAAACTCTATCAGAACATTAATCTATGCATGCTCAGAGACTGCACAGTGTATTATAATAATTTATAATAATAATTTGTTATATTTATATAGCGCTTTTCTGGGCACTCAAAGCGCTTTACACAATGGGGGGGGGTTTCTCCTCATCCACCACCAGTGTGCAGCATCCACCTGGATGACGCGACGACAGCCATTTTGCGCCAGACCGCACACCACACACCAGCTGATTGGTGGAGAGGAGACAGAGATATGGGGAGGGTTAGGAGGCCATGATGGACAGAGGCCAGTGGGCAGATTTGGTCAGGATGCCGGGGTTAAACCCCTACTCTTTTTCGAAGGACATCCTGGGATTTTTAATGACCACAGAGAGTCGGGACCTCGGTTTAACGTCTCATTCGAAAGACGGCACTTACTGAACAGTATACTATACTGGGCATTAGGACCCACACAGACCGCAGGTTAAGCGCCCCCTGCTGGCCTCACTAACACCACTTCCGGCAGCAACCTAGCTTTCCCATGTGGTCTCCCATCCAGGTACTGACCGGGCGCAGCCCTGTTTAGCTTCAGTGGGCAACCATGTCACTAGCTGCCGGCTCAAATTAAGAGCTCAAATTAAAATATATATATATTAATCAATGAAGCAATATGGGTCAATAATCAACGACAAGAGGACAGACAACATCACATTTAGAAGGATTAAAGAAGATAAAAAAACATTATTCATTCATTCATTCATTCATTTAGGAAAACTTATGTGTTACGAGTCATTAGCTGGAGTACCCACTGGGCTCACTAGATGGCGCTCCAGCTTGATGAACACTCCATCGGCCATTCTCCTGGACTACACCTACCATCATGCTTTGCACCTCACAGCTGACCCAGTTTATCAATTTGGACACTGAATACACTGACACAGCTGCAGATCTTTCTCACTGATTAAGACTAAGCACCACTTTCACACACATTCTCTTCTCAGTCTTGTATATCTGCAAGAGAGCTTTTCCAAGTTTCCACAAAGCGGGATTGAAGCGTCTTCTTTCATAACTGTTCTGACACTTGGCTGTGCTGATGAAGTGAATCGTTGTAATTCATTACACACATGCACTGTTTTAAAACATTTTAAGCTTGTGAAACTCACTCTTGATCACATTTGATGATGATTGATGATCCTAGCAAACTGAACAGACCTTTTATTCCCGGTTGCTTTGCGCATGTCCTTTCTTGTTGATATGATTATACACGTGACTACCGAGACATGTTAATACACAGCTGTCAATCAATTCGGTGACCGCCCCAATTGGTCCACCGTTTTTAAGTTGTTAAATTGAAAAAAAAAGAAAAAACTGGGTGTTTATATCACCCTAATATGACGGTCTATACACTATTCCTACACACATGTCTGTCCAAACAGCTTGAAAAGTAGACTGTTTCCACCATAGGTGCCCTTTAAAGCTTAATCCTTATCGGTGGAATCCAATACAATTAAACCCGAATCAAAAAACATTATAGATGCAAGCAAAAAACTAAATAACTAAATGTTTATAAACCTTTTGTTTATTATAATAGGCATCAAAAGTAATCATGCAACCATTTTTAAGAATTTAAATGACATTTTTCTTACCTTGGCTCCATCGGGACCACTTGGACCAGCCTCTCCATCGACTCCAGGGTCACCCTAAATGAGAACATCTTTAAAAACATTCACTGTTCTACTTTAAAAAGACACAGATACAGACTTTAAGCAGAGCAGGTGCCATAATTAATCATAAACTTGTGAGCTGTGATAGACAAACATGCACGAGTTTCTGGGTCGCATCTAATAGGCCACCCTTTGTGGAAAAAATGGTATTAGCATTACTTTATTTTTTATTTATTTATTTTTTTTTTACAGAAATTATATATTGTACTTGTGATTTGATGAGAAAATAATCTTCATTCATTTATTCATTCATTTTCTTTTCGGGTTAGTCCCTTTATTAATCAGGGGTCGCCACTGCGGAATCAACCACCAACTTGAGCATATGCTTTACACAACAAATGTCCTTCCAGCTGCAACCCATCACTGGGAAACACCCATACACTTTATATCACACACATACACTGCAGACAATTTAGTTTACCCAATTAACCTAAAGTACATGTCTTTGGACTCGTGGGGGCAACCGGAGCACCCGGAGGAAACCCACAGGCAGAACATGCAAACTCCACACAAAAATGCCAACTGACCCTGCCAAGGCTCAAACTAGCGACCTTCTTGCAGTGAGGTGACAGTGCCACCCACTGCGCCACCCCTGAAAATAATCTTTTCACTGTACAACTTCTTTTCATGTGTTTATTGCTTTTTTTAATTACCAATGTGTGAACAGTAACAAATTGAGACCTTATCAAACTTCCAAGGTTGTGAAAACTTTTAGACTGACTTTTCTAAAATTTATTTGATGTATTTATATTGTAATTATAGGTTTAAGGAACAATTCTCACTAACATCTAGTGGTTTATTATCATATTATTTATGTAACGTCTGTTTATTTGAACTGAGCTAAACTAAACTGAACTTAAACACTGAAAACTGAACTACACTTTCAATTTACTATGATCTTCTATGTGAAACTGCTTTGACACAATTTACATTGTAAAAGCGCAATAGAAATAAAATGAACTGAATTGAATTTGTACTTATTCTGCATGATCTCATTTTACATCTCTAATCCTACTCGATACCAAAGCAGAAAATTAGGACTTTGAGGCCAAAATCATAGTGAATTCATTACTATTAGCTAGAATTGTACCTTAGGATAAAGTGTGACCTAAACTTTAAAATGAATTTTAATTGATATTAGGCTGCAGTAAAAATTTTAATAAGTACTGTATATAAGGTTTAAGTATGTAAGCAATATATTAAAATAAATAATTCTTTAAAGGATGAAATTATATTGCCATTATATCAGACTGCACCTTTAAATATTGTACTCTTAACACACTTGATATAATAATACCAGGAAACATTTGTTAAGTGATGTTAAGTGAACTGAAGTGCAGATTTAATATAATTGCAGTATGAGGCTTGTTTTCACTGTGTTCATGGAATAGTCATAAAACTGTACTTTCAGTGCTACACTGACCGAATGATTATCACTAACAGGCTAACAACATTAATTTTCCCCTCACCAAGTCATTTTCATTTAGTTTCTAATTAAATATATCATATCTTCTGAATAAAAAGAAGAAACCTACTCGAGGTCCAATCAGGCCTTGCTCTCCAATATTCCCAGGAGACCCGACTGCACCCTAGAAAGTGTGGGGAAAAAAGTAAGACAATTTTTAAAATGCGTATTTAAACATTGTTACAACAACAGTGGGATATTCTCATATATAATCATTATTTATACCCAAATCAGCAATAAAAACTATGTAGACACTCCACCTTCTCTCCTGGTTCTCCCGGTAAGCCCTGATCGCCAGCCTTCCCAGGTAAACCCTGTCACATAAACCAAGAAACTAGTGAACATCTTGCTATACAGTAATTGCTCACATATAAATAAGAATACATGTGGAAAAAATGGATAGCTATTTCAAAGAAAAGTGACAGCATGGGAGCAATTTAGTTTGGGGATCAATTGTTGGATTTGTTGGCATTGTTGGATTTGTTCTTCAGTGTTTGGGCTTTCAGCAGTGACATTAATATTACACTGATCTGAACTCTGAAAAAAGGACTGAATCAGTTTCAGTTTACTAGAACTTCATCTATGTTAAGCTGCTTTGACACAATCCCCATTGTAAAAGTGAAATACACTCTCAGAAAAAAAGGTACACGGTGGTACAAATAATGTTCCTTGAGGAACCGTTTTGTACTTTTATAAAGATTGTACCTTATATGGTACAGAAAAGACCTCTTATGATGCTGTTCTGTACCTTTTATGGTACAACTGAAATGAAGGTACACAATTGTTTCCATATAAAATGTACAAAACCTACTACAATTTCTATGAATACCTATCAAAACTTATTACAATATATATAAAAATAAATATAACTGGAAAGGCAAAGTGATTTATGAATAATTTCTAGAAGAAAGAAACGTATAAACATTAATTATTAAATTCTATAATACAATATTACAAAACAACTGGTAACGAAACTATAGGTATTGTAAAATAAAAGACTTTTTTTATTAGAATATGCAAAAAGGTACATAAATTGGGATCATACAAATACAAAAAAAAAACCATCAACTAAAAACCATAACAAAACAACAATAAACAAACCAAACAAATACAATATAGTCAGGTAGTGTTAGGTGTGTGTGTGTGTGTGTGTGTGTGTGAGTGTGTGTGTATGTGTGTGTGTGTGTGTGTGTGTGTGTGTGTGTGTCCATGTAAAGGTAACTTGGTGGAAAGGTCAGAGTACATACATTAGGAACAATATCAGCCAATAAATGAATCAAGTATCGCAGATAGAAGTAAAACAGATAAAAAAGAAACCAGTCAGAGTTAGGGAGTAACAACAATGCTTTGTAATGTATGATAGTTATAATGACAGTAAAAAGAAAGAAAGGACAACAGTAATAATAAATGACAATGATAATAAATCACAAGTACTACACTAACTACTACTACAGAAAGTTACTTATATTACAACTACTATTGCTGCTACTACAGTCACAACCACAACTATTACTACTATAATGTCTACTACTGCTGATACTACCACAACAATGACTACCACTACTGATACTACAGCGTCTGCTACAACTAATACAATGTCTACTACTACTACCGCAATCACTGCTACTACAACATCTACATCAACGACATCTACTACTGGTACTACTACACCAACAACGATTACTACTGCTACAACGACACTTTTACTACTTCTGCTACACTAAATAAAAGACATATTAAATAAATGTTAGGTAAGCATTTTGACACTGTTAAGGTCTTGCAAAGTGTCTTGTCACTGAGGTGGTACCTTTATATGTCAGATTTATACCTTTAATGAAGGCACAATATTGTATCTATAGGTTTTAAAAACCAAATGTTGGTTTCCCATGGTACAAATGATGTCCTTAAAGGTACAAACTGCAATGGTACAAATATGTTTCTTTGTCCTAAGGTACAAATCTGACCCATAAAAAGGTACTGCCCCAGTGACAAGGGTTTATATCTTCTTTGGTACAACATTGTACCATTTTTTTCTGAGAGTGTAGAAATAATTAAATTGAATTGACACTATTAACTAACTATTTACTGTGACTTTCGTCTCAAATAAACATCTACTTTGCTGTCTAGTAATAGTTCAGATCAGTTCCTCCAGGAATTTGCAGTTGCAACCTACAGTAATATGATTTAGTGACCACTTTTCTCAAAACTTTTAGCATTATTCGCAGCAATTCTTGTGTTTTGCAGTGAAAATACACACAAAACTTGTAATATATATATATATTTTTTATCTTTATGCATTCACAAAATTCTAGAGGAACTGTTAAGTAAGATGCTGTTAGGTTAAGATATCTTGTAATATTTAGGCAACTGAAATATGATCATGCATAATAAGCCATTAATCAAACTAAACTCAAACTACAATGTTCATTATTTCATTAAACTAAGTCTTGTCTATTGAAATAACAGGAACCAAGCCTAATTTGTTATTTCTCGCATTACAGTATAATGATAAATGTTTCTTTAAAAGTAATGAAAGAGTGCTGTACGGTGAACATATCAATATATATCTGAAGATTATGTCAATCATCTTACTATTGCTCCAATCTCACCCAATGGACCCAACACTCCCGGTGATCCTTGAGGACCCTATAAAAGTTAGATAGACAAATCTGAATAATACTGTTCATAATATTTGTAATGAAAAACACACACACTTTAACAGCTATCTTTATGGGGACTTCCCATTGGCGTAAAGACTTTTAATATTGTATATTCTACCCCCTACTCCTAAACCCAACATTCACAGGAAACACAAACACACATATTTTTCAAAGAACAAAAATACATCATTGTAATTCAAATAAAAAAAGTAGATATTTTTTGTTCATTAAATAAATCTGGAAACGTATCATATACAGAGCAACACAAATCTTACTTAAGCAAATCAGCATGTCAGAATAATTAATGAAGAAAAACATGACCCTGAAGACTGGAGTAATGAAAATACAGCACTGAATTATAGAAATACATTCAATTTGAATGAAAAACCATGTATTGCTGAACACAAGAGACTTCCTTTAAGAACATTTAAACAAATGTTACCAAACCGAAACTTTTGAACATCAGTGTACGCCAAGCTGATATTTAGCATTGTGTTTATAATAATGTTTCTTATAAATGTTTCATAGCGCTCAAATTAACTTTCATATTACCTTATGGTTTTATTTTAACTGCACTTTGTACAGTTCATAAAAGAAGGTAGATTAAGGAATGTTTTCTTGCCCACTAATTGCTCTTTCTTTGTGTTTCACCAAAGAAAGAGCAATTATAATGTGTGTACACAGTTGAAGTCAGAATTATTAGCCTCCCTGCATTATTAGCCCCCCTGTTTACTTTTCCCCCAATTTCTGTTTGAGGCATATATATATATATATATGCCTTAGTATAGTGCCTTAGTGCCCCCATAATTGTGTATATAAAAACAAAATCAAACACGGAGAGTTTCAAAAACCCTTTTGTATGTGGAACTACTTTCTTCCACATTGGATTCAAATCATAAGCTGACAGTTAAACAGTTGAGCGTGCATCTTTTAAACTTTAGATCTCTTGTGTCTGCTTTTTGCTGGCTGTATGTGGGCGGAGTAATACACAAAGGGTAAAGAGGCTGTAGGAGTTCTGATATTGCAAAATATCGCACGGCAATCAGCCAATCAGATTTGAGAACCAGACAGAACTGTTGTACTGTATAAATATATATATATATAAATATATATATATATATATAAACAAAAATAATAGTTATAAATAAATAGCAGTACTATTGTTATTAAACAATTATTATTCTAAATAAATAACATAAATTAATCCTAAATGTAACTGGAAAACAACCTAACGACACAACTGGAGCGATGCTAAGATAATTTTAAAAAATCTCTGCATGAATATTAATTTTATAACAATGGAATTCTATAGACAATTCTATATTGCGTGAGGTATGTTTTTTTCTATGCACATGCTCAGTTTGCTTTTTGATTAAACATTGCTGTCATCAGCGTTGGTTTGGTTGAACATAGTAAATAACGTCCTTATTCTTGGATTACAACTCTTAATAAATACACTTGCATATAAGGGAATTCGTCGCTCAAAGCATTTACCGGGTCACTGGTGATGTTTACTGGGGCACATGCCCTAGTAAGTGGAGTCCAGCGATGCCACTGGGCTTAACTAGGTTAATTAGGTTAACTAGGCAGGTTAGGGTAATTAGGCAAGTCATTGTATAATGATGGTAGTCTGTAGACTATCGAAACAATATATAGCTTAAAGGAGCTAATAATGTTTTACCATAAAATGGGTTTTAAAAAATTAAAAACTGCATTTATTTTAGCCAAGGTAAAACAAATAAGAATTTGTCCAGAAGAAAAAATATTATCAGACATACAGTGAAAATTTCCTTGCTCTGTTAAACATCATTTAGGAAATATTTGAAAAAGAAAATAAAATTCAAAGGGGGGCTAATAAATTCTGACTTCAACTGTATGTGAAAGTACTTACAGGTTCTCCTAAGATGCCTTTTGCTCCAGGAGGTCCAGTTGGTCCTTGAACACCCTGTAAATACACGATTTTAAAGTTATAAGTATCTTAAAGAGTTTATAAATGTAAGGATGTCAAATTTAATAATATAATAAATTTACGTACAGTAAATCCGGTAGGTCCTGCTTCACCAGTTTCTCCAATTTTACCCTAATAATACACAAAAGAGAATCTCAGAGCTACAAACACTTAAACATTATAGTTTAACTGTATATTGTTTCACTATCTAAAGTCATTTAGTTGAGCGCTGTCTCCAAAACTATTGTAGATTTTTGGTTAAATGCTTCAATAGTATTTTTATGATCTGTCATTATATCAACTTATTCCACAGTCTATTTAAATGATTGATTCTGATTGGCTGAAAGGTGTGCCATAAAATTGTTTAATGCACAGGCAGCTCCAGTCAGTATTGACAATAGTTCAGTTTGTAAAGTAATATTTTCTGTCTTTTAGTAGATATATTATATGAGAGACTTGTTTTGTTTACCAAATAAATTGGATTTGCATTTTAAACATTAAATAAAAGTTAAAAAGATATTATTTTTTATTTCACAGATTAAGGTTTTAGTTATGATACTCCCAAAATAATTCAGCAGAAATCCGTAGACTTACCAAAATTCTCTGCAGAAATATAAAAGAAATGTCCAGATTCCGTCTGGCCCTAGCAATAAGTAAAGCCAGACAGAATCTGCATATATTTTTTGACAATTCTGCAGAGAATTTTGGGAAAAAAATCTGCAGATTTACGTGGAATGTTTTTGGGACTATCAAAACTAAAAAAAATTACATATAAAATAAAAAAAAATATGTAATGTTTACAATACAAGTTCGATTTGATCCACTTATTTGGTAAACGAAACAAGTCTCTCATATAATATATATCTACTAAAAGACTGTATTGTAAATAAATTGGTCACACTTTACAATAAGGTTCATTAGTTAATGTTAAGTAATGCATTTACAAACATGAACAAACAATGAACAATACATTTACTACAGTATTTATTCATGTTAGTTAACGTTAGTTAATGAAAATACAGTAGTTCATTGTGAGTTCATGTTAACTCATGGTGCATTAACTAATGTTAACAAGCATGGACTTGAATGTTAATAAAGCATTAGTAAATGTTCAATTATGATTAATAAATGCTGTACAAGTGTTGTTCATGATTAGTTCATGTTAGTAAATGCATTAACTAATGAACCTTATTGTAAAGTGTTACCAATAAATCAAATAATCACTTTCATATTAGTCAATACTGTTACTGAAATTAATTAAATACCCGAATAAATATAAATGTACACACATTTACACAACTAAATAAATAGACCTTATGATAGGCTAAAAATCTGCAGAAATCTGCGGATTGCATGCACACAGATTCTGTGTGCGCCTTTAATATATGGTTTACCCTTGTCATTTACACAAACTCTCTCTGTGAGATTTCTTCACAAGTTAATTCTGTCAGATCTTACGCTGAAAAAAGCATTTCAAGCTTTTACTTGTTTATAACTTGGCAAATGACCATGAAATGAATTGGTATAATGAAAAACTTGCAATGCAATAAAGAAGTTTTTAATCCTCTGCTTATCAAGTTATCATTATCGTGTCAGCTGGTTATTTGCCCCCACGTTGTGCATTTAACATCCTTTAACAGACGGCAAACCATTGATTATCCTTCAAAACATTGTCTAGGTTATGGAATTAATTCCCAGATGAATGTTTTCATAGTATTTTTAATTATTTTGGATAAAAAAATTCAGGAAGTGAGATGTTAAAGCATCTTGACATTGTGAGTGGAAAGGTAACATCTTATACCACTTATTACAGACTTAAAGGGCACCTCTGATGCCCCTTTTTACAAGATGTAAAAATTTTTTTGATGTCCCAAGAGTGTGTATGTGAAGTTTCAGCTCAAAATACAACACAAATAATGTTTTACAACTCAATGAAACTGCTCCTTTTAGGCTTTGATCCTAATTGTGGCATTTTGGTGACTGTTGATTTAAATTTAAATGAGATTGTGCTCTTTTCAAAAGAAGGCGGAGCTACAAATGCCTGTGCATCAGCATAATGGAAAAACAAGACTAATGTCCTATGCTAATGAGGAAGAGATCGTCACCAATGGGCGGGGCTTTCCCCCTCTGATGGCGTACAAAGAGAGAATGTCAATCAAAGGGCCCTATCATACACCCAACGCAATGTGGTGCAAGGCCTGACGCAATAGTTGTTTGCTAGTTTCTGCTTGGCGCAAGAGTCGTTTTGAAGTTTTGCAGCACACTGTTTAAATAGCAAATGCATTTGCGCTCATCTGTGCGTCCATTTGGTCTAAAAAAGGAGGCGTGTTAAGGCGCATTGCTATTTTAAGGAACTAGAATAGACTGTTCAACAGACCAAATCAAAGCAGGTCTATAGTCCAGTGCAGAGCGCGTTATTTGTGCGCCTCGCTTATATATTGCTTAACACACACAGGATGTACAGCAATACGCAGATATCTTTACAAATGAAAAAGAATTAAAGGACTCAAATATTACAAAAATTATTATTTTCTAGCCTACATAACTATAAAAACCACTGCCTTCATGCCTTCTTCATCTCAGGGGGCTTTTTCAGTTTAGTCATAACAATCATTATTATTATTAGTAGTAGTATTATTATATGCATATTTATATTTGTTTTTATTAAAAACAAGCTTACATTTGTCCATTGATCGTCAAAATAGGCCTCAAAGTGTTTCTGTTTTAATCAAGTGTGATTATAAAAAGTTAGTTTAATACATTTTTACCATTAGAAGCTGGTTTCATTCACAAAATTTGCATAATATGTCTCCTTTATCTATCAGCTAACATTAAAATCTGAACAGTTAGCAGCTTTAACAAACTGATTGTTTCAATTACACATCTGCCATTTCAATTATTGATTTATAAAACAATTTTTTTACCATTTGTCCGCTTAAACCTTGTTTTCCTGGTGGACCTTCAGGACCCTGCAGTAAAACCCCCAAAAAGAAAACAGTCAACTATTTTCCATTGAAGCGCATTGAGAATCACATCAAATTATCCTTCATTATTGCTTCTGATCGAACCACAACCAAGAATTTTATAAATGTGTTGAATAAACCTTCAGTGCGCCCTGTCGCCAGCATTGTAAGGTTGATAAAAATGTTGTGCTGACAATTTAGATGCGTTTCATATGTTGTTTTGCTCTGTGGTACGGAAAATCCACTGCATGCCAGCGTGGAGGAAGTCAAGCACTTCATCTTGAAAATAGCACAGCATCACAATGTGCTTTCATTCATGCACCATTCACTCAGTTCTATCATCCACGGCCAGATAGACTTTTTGATGTTACTGACATGAACCCACGAGAATAATAGTGCTTAGCTAAATGCTTCAAGATCCTAAAATTAACCTGTCAATGAAAATCAATAACAATATCAATATAATCACATATGCTTAAAGGAATTGTTCACCAAATAAATCATTTACTAACCCTCAAGTGGTTTCAAACCTTTATAAGTTTCTTTTTTTTTTCCAGTTGAACACAAAAGGAGATATTTTTTAAAATGTTACAAACCGGTTACCATTAATTTCTATATCAGAAAAAAAAATACTATGGCAGTCATTGGTTACAGGTTTTCATTCAATCATTCATTTTCCTTAGTCTCTATTTCAGAGGTCGCCACAGCAGAATGAACCGCCAACTATTCTAGCATAGGTTGTACACCACAGGGTACACCATAGGTTTCAGCCACAACCCAGTTTCTGGGAAACACACATACCCTTTCACATTCACACACACACACTCATATATTACAGTCAATTTATACAACATGTCTTTGGACTGTGGGGGAAACCGGAGCGCCAAAAGGAAACCCATGAGAACACGGGAAGAACATGCAAACTCCACACAGAAATGCCAACTGGCCCTGCCGGGACTCGAACCAGGAACCTTCTTGCTGTAGGCGACCACTACAAGTTTCAAACAATTTATTTACTAACCCTCCAGTGGTTTCAAACCTTTATAGGTTTCTTTTTTCCACAAAAGGAGATATTTCGAAAAATGCTAGAAGCCGGTAACTATTGACTTCGATAGCAGAAAAAATAAATACTAGGAAGTAAATGGTTACAGGTTTTTATTCATTCATTTTCCTTTGGCTTAGTTTTTATTTCAGAGGTTGCCACAGCGGAATGAACCACCAACTATTCCAGAATATGTTTTTTGCAGCGAATGCCCTTCCAGCCACAAGCCATTACTGGGAAACACCCATACACTCTCACATCTCTTATACCGCATGTCTTTGGACTGTTGGGAAAACCGGAGCACCCGGAGGAAACCCACACCAACATGGGGAGAACATGCAAACACAGAAATGCCCACAGGCCCAGCCGGGACTCGAACCAACGACTTTCTTGCTGTTATTTTTCAGAACCTGTGAGCATTACAGGTTTTAGCATTTTACAAAATATCTTCTTTTATGTTTAACAGAAGAAAGAAACCCAAACAGGTTTGTGACAGTGAATGATGACAGGATTTTCAGGATTTTGGGTGAACTATCCCTTTAAGAATAACGAAAATAAGCATTAAAGTAATGATATACAATTGAAATGAATTAAATTATTTCAATAACTAATTACTGTTTAAAATGTGATATAATCAGTATCATTACTATAAAATATCACACAGAAGCTTGGCTCTACAAGAATAGTTCATTTCACCTTCATTCCCATCATTCCTTTCTCTCCAACTGGTCCATCTGGTCCCCTTGCACCCTGCACAGAAAATAAGGATTAGAGAACTGGCATTAAAAAGGAAGCAACACACATGGGTTTAAGAATATAACCGGCTGAACAGCAGAGGGCGCACTTGTACAAATAAAGACATATCCAACCAATGCACAATGTTCATTTCATTTTCCTTTGGCTTAGTCCCTTTATTCATCAGGCGTCGCCACAGTGGAATGAACCGCCAACTTATCCATCATATGTTTTACACAGCTTATACTCTCCATACACAATGTTCATTTAATTTATTTCATCTTACTTCAACATAGTCCCTTTTTTCATCAGGGGTCGCCACAGCGGAATGAACCGCCAACTTATCCAGCATATGTTTTACACAGCGAATGCCCTTAATACACAATATTGACAATGCAATCATCTAGGAGATATACATTCATTCATTTTCTTTTCAGCTTAGTCCCTTTATTATTCCTGGGTGACCACAGCGGAATGAACCGCCAACTTATCCAGCATATGTTTAACACAGCGGATGCCCTTAATACACAATATTAACATTGCAATCATCTAGGATATATTCATTCATTTTCTTTTCAGCTTAGTCCCTTTATTAATCCGGGGTCACCACAGCAGAATGAACCGCCAACTTATCCAGCATATGTTTTACACAACGGATTCCCTTAATACACAGTTCTAACAATGCAATCATATAGGAGATATACATTATGGCATTATTATAGCCAATGTATGACAACTCCAGATGACAAAGACAACTCATTTAAAGCAATTTGTTTGACTTATGATCTCGAGCAAGTCAAATCTCCGGCTCACCGGAGGCCTGAATGAACCCGGCTTTAAAGACTTCTGTGAAACATGAGCCGCTCACATTATGGAAGTGCAGTTATAGTAACATGGAGAGCTGCCATTGTGTTTCCATCATGATGATTCATAGGCTTTATGAAAAATGTAGAGGCGCAGCTGGGTGATCTCTCGGACTTTGAGGGATTTCTTTGTCTGGAAGGTGGAAAGAGTGATCAATGGGGGATATTATTAAGGCTGCAAACGCCATAATAACAGATGTGTGGTGCTCCTCTGACAGCGCTTATGCAACACTGTTCCCTCTGTGCTCATGATCTGATGTCATGCAGGAAACCTTTGACCTTTTAGGGGCTAACGACAACATTTAGGCTGATTGGAATCAGAAATTTCGATCATATGAGGCGTAAAAATGAATTATTCTTTAAGGGTACTTCTTGACTTTAATAAAACAAGGCTCATTGGAATTATGTGCTCAGGGAAACATTTTTGAGAACTGAGAAATATGTACTCTGGACTGCATCTTCGTGCAGTTTTTGCTTTCACAAATCCACTAGATAAATCCACTGATATGACGTAGTTCCGGAAACTTCCTACTTCTCTGAACTTCTCCGACTTCACGGTCAGTTTCTTTTGACTGTTGTTTTGAAGAATATCACAACGGCGAACGCAGTTAGTATACAAGCCTTGTCTGTTTCGCGAGGTGTCCACGCAGTCAGCGGAGGTGAGTGGTGCAGCGCCAGGCAAAAGTATAAATCCAGCTTAAAGGTGAAGTAGGTGATCTTCCACAATGCTAACAGCTTAGCATATATCTCTGAATCACAGTCCCTCCCCTGCTATCTAGAGCCATGCCTCCTGAAACAGGATCACGTGCACCTTAAAGATGACAGCAAAAGAAGCCTCTCTCATGTGTTAAAAGCAACTAGTGCTTGTCCGGAGGCATGCAGGAATTACACTCATAACTAAGCCAAACTGACATGCTATATCAGACCGACTATTTAGAGTTGCATGGTAACAATATAGGGAGAGACTAGGCGGAATAGCGGTATTTACTTGTGTTTTTTTGTTAAACGAATTAAAATCTACATTATCGATGCTGTAAAAGGTCCCTTATGAAACTGAAAATAGTCTTATCAATCTCTTACCGGAAAATTTTAGTGGCTGAACAACACTTCTGTGAAGAGATAACCCATTTAAACAACCCGCGGTAGAAAAAAAAAAAATCAGGGCTTTTCTTTTTTTGGACGGCTTTTGTAAACTGTTGCTCGGGTTTAGGGAAGCGAGCGGGCGGGCGGGTCGATCAGTAAAATTGGTTGGGTTCAGTGAAGGAGGAGGGCGGGTCGGCTGATTGGCTGGTCGCGCAGTCAATCATCCGGTCAGTCGGACAGTGGCCTCTGGTGGGTTCACGCGAGAACAGCGCGGGCGCGAACCGCACTCGCGAGAGGCGTCTGAGATGCGAAAAAGCGCACAACAGCGGCCTCTCGCATATTCGCAAAAATAACTGCAGCCGTACGTACCCGCTGGGACGTATTCAGCGGTATCCAGAAACGTCCGCGGGACTACGTTTCCACAATAGGCTTGGGTTGCATTTAAACAACATCATCATGACTATCCTTTACCATGTTATTTCATACGTATGATGTGTTTGCACTTCAACTCCTCTCATGTATTTAAAACTTTGTCTGGCAACGTTTTATTTTTTCTTAATTGTCTTAATAATTTGTTTGTTTGCTTGTTGTAAGGGACCTTTGGTGTCTAGAAAGGCATTATTTATGAGTAAAATGAGTTGTTAATATTATTATCAGTCCAAATTTAGCCTTGTCTTTTAGCCAAGACATCTATGTTTAGATGTGAAGAAATTACTTGTTGGGTATGAACTTCCCTGAAGGGCTTGAACATGATTAAGGAATCACCTAACATTTAACCATATTATTAGTGTTTATCGACTGTTTTTATTTGTCCCTCCCAGGGTTGAGAACTCTTTCTATTCTTCAGTAAATGACATGAATCTGGGCCAGCAGTGAGATAAATGCACATGTCCATGAGAACTAATAGTACTGAGCGTTTAGAAAATGATGAGGCTGAAATCCCAGACCTCGGCGTTCTCCATCAGTGGCAATTGACTGCTGTTCATCTTTTTTTGCAGAAGGATTAATGCTTCATTTGTAATGGCGAATTTAGTTTGGGAAATGTGTTTTTTGCGATGTGAGGACAGACAGCTTTAATGCTGATAGGATTTCCGATGGGAAGCCAGCAAAGCAAAGAATCGTATTAACACATTATACAGCTTGAAACTGTAGCATGAAATTCACTGAAGTGTGAAACTTCAATGGAAATAACGAAATGTAGACTTTATTAAAGAGTGCTCTAACTTGGCAGGTTTGGTAAGATTACAACAAAGTCTCCCAAATGGCCATATATGAATATACATTGCGTCCAGAAAGTATTGATAGCGCTTCACTTTTTCTTACAGCCTTTTTTCCAAAATGCATTAAATTTATTTATTTATTTCCTCAAAATTCTGCACACAATGCCCCATAATGAGAATGTGAAAAAAAGAGTTTTTTAAATTGTTGCAAACTTATTAAAAACAAAAAACCTGTCAGCGCCAACAAATAGCACCAGTGTGCTCATGGCGACCTGGGTTCGATTCCTGTCTCGAGGTCCTTTGCCGATCATTTCCCTCTCTCTGCTCCCAGTGCTTTCCTGTCTAAATTCTCTACTGTCCTATCAAAATAAAGGTGAAAAACCCCTAAAGAATAATTATAAATAAAAAAAAACTGAAAGATCACGTACAGAAGTATTCACAGCTTTTGCTGTGAAGTTTTAAATTAAGCTCAGGTACATTCTGTTTCCACTGATCATTCTTAAGATGTTTCAGCAGCTTCACCTGTGGTAAATTCAGTTGAGTGGACATGATTTGAAAAGGCATACACCTGTCTATATAAGGTCCCAGGGTTGACAGTGCATGGCAAAGCACAAACCAAGCATGAAGACAAAGGAATTGTCTGTAGACCTCCGAGACAGGATTGTCTCGAGGCACAAGGCTGAGGAAGGTTACAGAAAAACTTCTGCTGCTCTGAAAGTTCCAATGAGCACAGTGGCCTCCATCATATGTAAGTGGAAGAAGTTTGGAGCCACCAGGACTCTTTCTAGAGCTGTCCGGCCATCTAAGCTGAGTGATCGGGGGAGAAGGGCCTTAGTCAAGGAGGTGATCAATAACCTGATGATCACTCTGTCTGAGCTTTAGCGTTCTCCTGTGGAGAGAGGAGAATCTTACAGAAGGACAACCATCTGTGCAGCAATCCACCAATCAGGCCTGTATAGAAGAGTGGCCAGACGGAAGCTACTCCCTGCCTGGAATTTGCTAAAAGGCATCTGAAGAACTGTCAGACTAAAGAAACAAAACTCTCTGGTCTGATGAGACTAAAATTCAACCCAAGAGTAAATGCCAGGCATTATGTTTGACCAGGCACCGCTCATCACCAAGCTAATACCATCCCTACAGTGAAGCATGGTGGTGGCAGCATAATGCTGTGGGGATGTTTTTCAGCAGCAGGAACTGAAGGACTAGTCAGGATAGAGGGAAAGATGAATGAAAACCTGCTTCAGAGTGCTCTTGACCTCAGACTGGGGCGACTGTTCATCTTCCAGCAGGACAATGACCCAAAGCACACAACCAAAATATTAAAGGAGTGGCTTCATAACATCTTGGTGAATGTCCTTGAGTAGCCCAGCCAGAGCCCAGACGTAAATCCTATTGAATATCTATGGAGAGATCTGAAAATGGCTGTACATTGTCCCAAAGACAGGTGTGCCAAGCTTGTGGCATCAAATTCTGAAAGACTTGAGGCTGTAATTGCTGCCAAAGGTGCATCAACAAAGTATTGAGCAAAGGCTGTGAATACTTTTCCTTCACATTGTCATTATGGGGTATTGCGTGTGGAGAAAATAAATGAACTTAATCCATTTTGGAATAAGGCTGTAACATAAAAAAGTTTTAAAAAATGAAGCGCTATGAATACTTTCCGGATACTTTGTAGGTTTGTCTATAGACTACTATGTAAATTTATCTTAAATGACACAATTCTTTATTTTCTATATTATTTTATTATTATTATTACCTTTTTACAATTCTATATCCTGGATGATTTAGTATAATCATCTCAACACTTTAGGACAAAGTTGTCATTAATTACAAAAAATGTAGAGTATTT